GAATTCCAATAGCTTAGTCACTACCTTTAATAATGTTGTCAAATATTAAAAGAGAGTGACGCTTGGACAGGATTCTTACTTGGCAAAAATACTTTATCACAACGGAGAATCACATAACATTCCATTTAATACTTGCCAGTGGTTTAGTTTTGGCACTGAGAGACCATGATCTTTTAAGAGAGATGAAACAAGTCATGGCCTAATCATATTAAAAGCTTGCTGAGATACTCTGAAGCTTTGTGTAGCTGAATATAATAGTGGCTGAATGAACACCAAAGTTATTGTTGGAATTGTACCCAGCAACCCAACAGAAATGGACGTATTAGTACAGTCATAGGGAGACCAGCAAAACTGAAGCAATAGAAGGGCTGTTGGAATAGATTTTGGTATGAGTACAGGTTTATATTTGCAATAGAATTGTGTGTCTATACATAGACACACATACAGTACATTGGACCAGATCCTCAGCAGGTGTAAATAGACATCTCTCCATATTAGAGAGGTAACCATGTAAATTCTTGTAATTAGCAGTAAGTTACATTGTCATTTGTTCCAACATTAAGTGCTCCACAAGAACTACCCACTTATTGTTCTACAGGAAAATCTGATGGACAGTAATGTCCAGCTGTACATCTATATATATGTTCAATAGGTACCACCAAGATATATGGGGGTAGAAAAAACCCAGCGTAAATCAACACCCTGAGTCAGACTGCATCAATATTTGTTGAGACTCCCTTTAGTTTGCTAGCTCCTGCAACACTGAACTGAGCCTCTAGGGGGCCTACCCTCTGGGACGACAGCAACAATAGCTCCAGAGCCTCTGGATAGCAGTTTCCAGCCTGCCTGGGGTCTGGGATGGCACAGAATAGAGTAGAAACTCCTACAAAAGCATATAACCAATGACAGGCTAAGATCGCTAAGTCCCTCAGGGGAGGGGGCAGGCTGCCACAGAGACAAAAGGAATGAGGGATTCATTTTGGTTTCACTTTGGGGCTGTTTGAGTTTGGAGCTGGGAGAGGAGCAGTGCAACTTGGGAAGTCTATTCAATTCCCACTTCCCCCCCGAAAGGGGAACTTAGCTATTGTGGGATTTAACCTGCTATCTGGGAGCACCAAGCCCTACTGAGACTAGCAAGCAAGGAGGTAGAGAATAAACCCAGTGCCAGCTAAAACCTCCACAGGGCTCCAGACCAGGAAGCCAGGAGAACACCTCACCCTACCCAGGGCAAAAGACACCATAAAGGAGAGCCCTTTCTTTTTGTGTAAGCTGGCAAATATTCACAGCGCTGCAGCACTCATCGCAGGACTTATCCTCAGCGTCCCATCTACCTGCAATAATGCTAGGGAGGGAGCTGGGGTCTGTGTACAGTTGCAGATGTAGGGAGGTGAGGAATGTGTTATATGGTTGATGTTTTAGTTAGTACTGATCCTTTGTTTTCAGCCCCAATGCAGTTCTCTCTGTTATATTGTTCTGAGTGTGGCATTTCATTGGTTGGGGCTGGTATTAGTGTACTGTGTTGGTCATGTACTGGGTTATATTCCTTGTGAAGAGAGTCACAGTATTAATTATTTTCCACAGGGACAGCGCTCGCTGTGTCTCAGGCACAGAAAGGAGTTACCATGAGCAGAGACAGGCACTGAAAAAGAATCCAAGGCCCCCAACCCATGGGAAGAGAAAAGAGAAGCCATTCCAATTTGCAAACACCAGGAAGGAGGCCTATGCAATGCTTTGGGGAGGGAATAGTTGTTGTTTTTTAAAAAAAAGAAAACCGAATGAAAGAAAGGACTTGTCAATTTGAAAATTAAATTGAAGTGCAGCCAGGGCACCAATGAAATACTACTTACATTATAACTCTGGGCAGGGACCTCATATGCATGTGTGCACATGCTAGCATAGTGTGGTCTCATTTCCTGATTGGGGAGTCTCCCACCCCCAAATAAAATAATGACAATGCTGAGTATTGTCATTGCTAGGCGGCTACGGAGGTGGTTTCTTTTGTTTGGTTATTTTTTAAAATAAAGTCTAAAATCAATTTAAAATTGATTAGCACAACTTCAGGGACAGGGAAAACAAAGACTTCAAAGGTCAGCCTTATGAAAGAATTAAAACCTAAGAATTGGAAGATCAGTAAACACTGTAAATTTTTCAGGGCAGGAATCCTGATTTCCATTGGGCCCTGATTCTGAAGCCCTTCCTCGCACTGAATAGTTTTGTTGATTCTAAAGGGACTATTTGTGGATTCAACACAAACAAGAGTATCCCAATCTAGCCCTTTATGCACAAAAGGTCTTAGCACACAATGGGCAATGTTGCAAAAATGCCTTAAAGACTAATGTGAGGCAATAAAGCCCAATTTTCAAAGTTAGGCATATGCAGACAATTGTGATTGACTTAAGTATGTGAATGCCCAATATGTGAGCACAGATCAGGTATTTGCCTCTTCACAGGGCCAGTACAAGTTTCTGCACATACCTGACTTTGAAGATCAGGGCCATAACAGGACAGCCCCTATATCTCTGTTGCCATCACATGATGGACAGAAGAAACACACCTTTACCTTCTTAGGTTCAAAGAGATCATGGCCCACTGTCTACAGGAGATTTGGTCTCACAACAAGGATCCCCTAATCAGTCTTCTCAAGGCAAGGGGAAGGTGGCGGTGGCAGCAGCAGCCAGCATCATATTTCTGAACAGATATAAAGACTCATTCTACCATTTCCCATGCCTGAACCAACCACAAACATGAGTTTTGTATATTTTAGCATAAAAAGGACTAGTACTTCCACTGGTCAACATTGCAACAACCAGTTTTTCCAGCCATAATCCATAAAGCACTCTGCAACCCAAAGTGCTATCCTGATGCCTCACAACTGGAAGAATCTAAGAGTCACCTCCCAGATGTGCTGTAGAATGGCAAACCACCACACACAAGCCCTGGCCAATCAGCCTCAAGGAAAAACATTCTTCCTTGACCCCATACATGGCTGTCAACAAAAATCCAGCCCACTGACCAAGATCAGTCTGTGAAGCCAGGAAACACGTAAAAAAAAGTAGACTTACCACTGACACCCCTCACATTTTGGGTCCCACCTGAGTTCTCCCTCTCAGGCATATCTTCATCAATTCCTCCTTCAGCAGCTCCCTCATCTAGTCTAGGCTTCCTCTCTTTATAGTACCCAGTTCTCCCCAGCTGGGCTTCATCCTTAATTAGGCCTGGCCCACCCTCCAGGTTCAAACAGGTGGGTAACTTGGCCTCTCCAGCCCACATTAACCATTTTACTATCCTTGTAGTGTAGACATACAACACAACACAATACAATGATCTCCACTCCCAATCATCTCTGAGTTTTGGCTAAACACTAATAGAAAACAATTAAGGGGTGAATGGGAGAGCAACTACTACAGAGATTGTATGAGAGGGAAACCTTACTACTGCAAGCTGACTCCTCTCCCTCTTGAGGAGAGAGTGAATAGACCTATGGATTGGTGGAAACTGTAACCCTAGTCACAGAGCAAAATTTTCCATGCCCACCAGCCATCTGCTCTGGCCACCAGATTGAAATTTCTGCCTCTCCTATTCGGCCACAGAAGAACTTGGTTTCCAAATGCTATGTTAGTTGCCCACCTAAACAATTCTGGGATCAGAGGATTCTGGAGCGATGCTACTTTTAGATAATGGATAGAGAGCAACCCTTCTCCTCAATGTCCCTTCATCTACTGACAAGTATACCATTAGATCTAGCCAGCTAGCTGGCCTGCTACTACCCCACCTTCTCTCTCTAGTGGTTCACGTCTGGAGTGCTTTGCAGAGAGTCAGCATGGCTCACTCTCATATAGTCCAAGTTTTGTCAATCCAGCGTTACCAGACATTTGGAGATGGAACCCTAATCTGCCTCTGCAGTGGGCACTCCAAAAGCTTAGGGATTCTGTTAGTCATTTTTCCTTAAAAATGCCATGAGACTTCAATCACAGTTCACCTGGATTTTGTTATGAAACAAGTTACTATCGATTTTATTAATAAAACCTCTCTGTGAAAACAAGGCCTAGAGCCATTTATCCATTTTATTTTTATCTACACTTTTGCTTTGATTTGACACCTAATAGTCTCTCTATAACTCTATTACACAGTGAACTGATTTTCTCTAGTGAGTCATTGAAAAATTGCATGGGCAATTTCCGTGTGGTAAATTATACACTATTTTCAAAAATACATGTAACAATTTATTTACTTAGTCTGATTTTTTGTGCAGATACAGTGAACATTTTTTATGAGATAATGAGATGTGATTCGTGCAATCTTCTTGGCTTAATGTAGATGGCATTAATTCTCGAGAAAGGCCCTGTAAATGCCAATTGAAACAATCAGCCATAAAACAAAAATGTTTTCCACCTTAGTTTAAAATCATAATAACAATAGTATCCCTATAACAGGATATTTCACAGAAATTCACGACCAGTGGGGTTAATGCCGTTAACTCCTTCCAGCCAGTCATTAATCTCTAGAAAAAAACCTGGATGTTGTTTAATTATTTCTTATTTTAAATCTGGTTGGTTACAATTTTTTTTCTGATGCTATTTTAAAAACAGACAGTCAATTAACCTGCAGGGAGACTAATAGTGTGACACTGAGCACCTCTGAAAGATACTCTAAAACTAAAAGAAGCCAAGATGATACAGTGGCCAGGAGTTAGGGTGAAGTTTTTCAAAAGTGACCTAATTCTGTCCCATTGAAGTCAGTAGTACAGTTCCCTCTGACGTCACTAAGAACAAAATTAGGCCAACGCTGAATGCTTTTGAAAATCTCAAGTTTATTAAAAGCCAGGACAGAGACCTTCCATAGCTTACAGTGCATGTACTCTGCCATGTTGATGCTTTACGTGTGCAGACCTGCCAGTGTGGAACTTCTACACCTCGGTGAATTGCTTCCTTGCCATGTTTATCAAGGTGTGTTGGAGATTTAAGCTTCTATAGAAATGAAAGCAAAGTAATACTGTCAAGTTCTGTTCTTGTATTTTAGTAACTTGTTTAATTAGCTCGTGGACAATGATTTTGTTTTCCATTGGCTGTATGCAAATCATTAGAAGCTATATTTTTAGATGGATACCATAAAAACAGATAAAAGATTATTTTGAAAATATGACTATGCAAAGAAGAATTACAACAGTGTGCAATTTAACTTGAAACACCGATAAGGATTTTAAAAAAACACAAATTAGGCTTATTTGCAGTAAATCTGAAAATATGAATTGTGATGGTGAAGGATACAAACAAAATATCTGGTTTTATACAAATATTTAAAAAATAAATATAATCTTTTTCTGTGAGCTTTTGATACGAAAGACAGGCTAAGGGTTACACATGATGATCAAATTACAAAGCATCTTTCAAATATCAAACAAACCGTACATTAACATAACAAGTAAGCAACAGATAATTACAGTGGCAAAACAACACTTTCGGAAGGGATTTTTTCTTTAAAATGTTGCAACATTCCATGTCATCAGACAAGGGACCAGGCCTGTGAAGCATATTGAAAGAAATTGTGTGAAGCACAGTAATCAGAATTCACTTTTTTTTGCTTGGTCCTGTCACTACATAAAATAAAACATTCAAACACTGAGGGTAATGAGTGAAATACAATCAAATACACAAAACCTTGCTGAAAAATAACACATTTAGCTGCATTAACTACACAATCGAGAGATGATCACTTGACTATAAAAGTATCACTTAAGGTCTTTCACAAGAAACATTTCAGAAATTTCCCAAGCCTATGAAGCACAGTTTCATGCAGTTTTCTCTATTTCCATTTTCCCACCCGTCTTCATTTATATGGCAGCTGCTCCAAAGCCCTTTGCAATCAATGAGAAAACCTCCCATCAACTTAAATATGCTTTGGATCATGTTGTTAAGGCTCAGTCATTTAAGTGCTGCCTATTGAAATCACATGTTTAAGGACTCATTTTAGAAAAACATCTCTATTCTTGAGACCACTTAAGCACATGCATAAGTGCTTTCCTGAATCCAGGCCAAGTATTGTTCTGAACAGGGATGGACTTAAGCATGCACGTAAGTGCTATGCTGAATTGGGGCCAGAGTGCACTACTCCAAACCTCCAGATCTCACAATGGCATACTTCAGCAAATAAGCCACTCTCCATTTTATAGCTATGTGTATTTGAAAGATGATCACATCTAATCTCTGTCATTTTTCATTAAGTTCAGTTAGATGTCTTGGTATCTAGGGAAAGTGATTCCATGCAGACTAGAAAGGAAACATGTAGGGCTAAATCAACACATTTATTGCATGCCAAGTTATAGTTCACTGCATTCTCATTTCTGTTTGCACACACAGTACTATGAAAACCTGAAATGATTTCACCAGAAACAAATGAGGTACACACAAAAGTTGGTTAACAGACAGAAGCAAGTGTATTCATAAACCAAACAGCCCTAACATTCAATAGCTTTAATACTCCATTACATTGTTTCATACAAATTAGAGATGACAGACTTCTTGTCAATCCCCTGCCAATTCAGGAAGTTCTCTCTTTGCTAATTCATTCACTGGAGCTGATTGGCAACTGACAACTAAATGAAATAGAAATAACTAACCAGATGTGCCAAGAGAGAGTTCCCTCTGCAACAGTGAAGTACTGATTTCCTTCTGCAAAGGGCTGAGCTCCCTAAGCTCCGTTTGCTTAAACGGGAGTTGGTGGAGCTCAGCTCTTCATAGGATGGGGCCTTTAGTGGTATAGTAAGCATGGTACTCTTCATTTTCCTTTAATCTACTGCTATTGAAACCACCCTCACCACATTCCCAATGCACAGTGAAAACATCACAACTGCACTGGTAGTTGGAACTGGCTCATTTCAATTTTTTTGGACATATCCCAGAAACTGGCCTGTTAAGCAATAATAAAATGACAGTAGAGTAAGAAATGTCTTTAGATGCTGCATCACTTTTACCCTCATTCTAGCAGGTAGGAGAAGCTCTGAGCTCTGAAAAGGTTACCCCGTAAAAGAAATCTGACAACGTCAGTGGCAGTCTTTCAAATTCTCCTGATCATTTCTACATTCTATCAGCTAAATATTGAAATAAAGTTTGCATTAAACTGTGTCCATCAATACATTTTCCCCAAAGAATCACTGGGTTGGTTTTTTTTGGCCTTTGATTCTTCATTGAACTCAGAGGTCAAATGCAGTTTTCAAATTTCACATGAGTAGTTCCTCTGGCCCAAATCCTCAAAAGATGTTTAGGCTCCTAAATCCCATTGATTTCAATGGGAGTTAGGCACCTACATATTTTTCAGGATCTGGACCTCTGAATTCAGTGTCGAATTTATATCAAGCCATATTGTTTCTTGTACCAGCGACTATAAGGATACAGTATGTTTCTGAGACACATCCAGAGAAGGTATGCTATTCAATAGAACTCTCTGGTCTTCCCCTTTAAAATGATAAATCTTTGTCTACTTCAAGCTATCAGTTATTTTCTTTATGCTTTGTGGAGGTATCCTCTGACACAGTGAAGTCTTCACTAAGGCCCATCTATAGTAGACAACTCCTTGTCCCATAAATCCCCTTTAAAGTATCCTCAAGGACTCTCTTGTTTGACTTTTAGTTAAGGAATTCTTCAATTACACAGCTGACTTTTGTGGGTTAGCTTGAGACCAGTTTCATTGTCTATGAAAGGTCAGAAAGCAGAAAGGATTGTACTTTTCTGCAGTGAAGACAAAATTATTGATGATGTAAAAGTGCTAATTAATTTAGCCAGCCAACAAGCAGTGAGCTCAGTCTGGAAAGTCCACCACTTGCACAATATCACTAATGTCAATGGGACATCTGAGTGAGGAGGGGGTGCATGACAGGGTCCTATGCTTTTTAGGGATGTGTCGCACCATGGAGAATTACCTGAAATGCATAATTATTTTTCTTTCTCAACACCACACATTTCCAATTAAACATACAATTGGTACAATAGCCATTATGAAACAATTCATATTATAAGTGTACTAAAACTGCTGCTTTTTAGTGTTGGCTCCGAAGGAGACACACAGAGACAAACAGAATCAATAGAAGCACTACCATTTTGGATTAACCAGTAAACAATATGGGTTTCTGATGAAATGAAGACGGCCATGCCCTTTGCTCCGAGGGCTGGAGTTGGAAAGTAATGCCTCTGAATGTCATGTGGCAGTGGCAGAATTTGGGAGAACAATAGCTGGCCCCAAGTCCTACAAACTCTACTGAGCACAATGGTTTTTACAACTATGGGTAGTCCATTTAAATGAATGAGACTAGTTGGGGGAAGGGAGCAGGAGAGAGGAAGGAGAAGCACCATGTTCAGGGCCAGATCCTGATCTGGTTTAAAGTGGAATAGTTCATAGAATCATAGAATCATAGAATATCAGGGTTGGAAGGGACCCCTGAAGGTCATCTAGTCCAACCCCCTGCTCGAAGCAGGACCAATTCCCAGTTAAATCATCCCAGCCAGGGCTTTGTCAAGCCTGACCTTAAAAATCTCTAAGGAAGGAGATTCTACCACCTCCCTAGGTAACGCATTCCAGTTTTTCACCACCCTCTTAGTGAAAAAGATTTTCCTAATATCCAATCTAAACCTCCCCCACTGCAACTTGAGACCATTACTCCTCGTTCTGTCATCTGCTACCATTGAGAACAGTCTAGAGCCATCCTCTTTGGAACCCCCTTTCAGGTAGTTGAAAGCAGCTATCAAATCCCCCCTCATTCTTCTCTTCTGCAGGCTAAACAATCCCAGCTCCCTCAGCCTCTCCTCATAAGTCATGTGTTCTAGACCCCTAATCATTTTTGTTGCCCTTCGCTGGACTCTCTCCAATTTATCCACATCCTTCTTGTAGTGTGGGGCCCAAAACTGGACACAGTACTCCAGATGAGGCCTCACCAATGTCGAATAGAGGGGAACGATCACGTCCCTCGATCTGCTCGCTATGCCCCTACTTATACATCCCAAAATGCCATTGGCCTTCTTGGCAACAAGGGCACACTGCTGACTCATATCCAGCTTCTCGTCCACTGTCACCCCAAGGTCCTTTTCCGCAGAACTGCTGCCTAGCCATTCGGTCCCTAGTCTGTAGCGGTGCATTGGATTCTTCCATCCTAAGTGCAGGACCCTGCACTTATCCTTATTGAACCTCATCAATTCTGGTTCTGGTGAAATCAGTAGAGCTGCACCAATTTACATTAGTTAAGGATCTCTGCAGGATTTTGCCCTTTTTTCGGAACCCTAGGAAACTACCAATAGCTAAGTAATGATGGAAAAAGTACAAGCATAAACTTAAGCACAAAACTTATGTGATGGTCAGGATCACACCAGTTCAGAATTACTATTGCCTTTGTATAACCTGTCAGTTTCATTCTGCTTTCATTAAGTGCTAATTAAGTGCATTCAGGTTTACACATACTTGTAACCAGTATTATGCAGAGGACAAATGGTTAAATGGACCAGAGGAATATTCCATGCCAACCTCTTTAAAATAGGAATTTATAAAAGTTCAGGTGTTTTTTATTTTTAAAAGTCACTCTGTGGTAGAAAAGGTAGATATGAGAATGATTCAGTAACAGTGGCGCTAAACCTGTTTTATTAAGGCTTTGTTAACTTTGGTGTAAGAGATGCTACAATGTTTAGCTGTTATTCCATTTAAAAACAAAACTTAAAAGTTATGAAGAGGTGCCTGATTCAGCCATTTAACCACTGGTTTCTCTGCATTTTTGTTAGAGCTGGAAAAAAGAAAGAATTTCAGAAAAAGTATTTTGAAAGTTTCGCCCCTAATTTCAAAAGTTAAAAATTATCTATATAATTGATCAATTAGAGATGGAAAAGTATGAAAATGTCATTCTATTTCCTTTCATTTTTTCAAGAATTTCAATTTTCATGCGAATTTCAGAAATTTTGAGCAGCTCTAAGTCTATATCGTTCACTGAGGTACATTAAACAGTATCAGTGTTAACTTATCCCTTTTCTGAGTTTGTCAAACCTCTGGAATTTATAGGTAAAGGTAGCCAATCCAATAAACGAGATTGAACAAGGCAAAGGCTGTTGGAAAGAAGATTCGAGAATAGGAGTCGATTTTGGCAACACGGATGTGTATTCTTCCTTCTCTCCAAGAACCTGTGCGGCAGTCTTCAAAACAACAAAAAAAGCTGGTGCAGTCTTTGCCTTCGAGGCACTCATATCCATAATCCTGGTCACGCTGTTGGAGGTGATTAATGTTGTTAATTGCTATTAATGTTGATCCAGGACGGACAGCAATTGCAGACGATTTCTAAAGAGAACAATATGTTGGTTATAGTCAGAGAGAAAAAAATAACCCTTATGTTTCCCTGGGCGATGTCCAACTACAAATATTTTACAGTACAATACACAGAATTTCATGTTTGAAGAAATCAATTTTGGAAACTTTTGCAGTTATGAAACATTTTATATAATTAACTGATGAGGCCAAAGGATCATGAATATTTTCCACATGGTGCAATGCACAGTGGATTGTTCTGTGAGGCAGGAATAAATAGGTTACACAGACAGAGTTAGGTGACCCATCTATAAAGTGCAAAGAACATTTTGGAACAGAGTTGCAGCCTGAAATTTGGGTCACAAACTTGTTCACAAGCAGGATAAGAACACTACTACCATAGAAAATAGTGGATTCTCCATCTATTAATGTCTTCAGATCAAGCCTGGATGCCTCTCCGGAAGATATACTTTAGCCAAATAAGTTATTAGGCTCAATACAGTGGTAACTGTATGAAAGTTTAATGGCCTTTATACACAGGAGGTCAGACTAAATGATCTAATGGTCTCTTCTGGAATTAAAGTTGGTGAATGGTAGACCCAGGCAGTTAGGAACCAAGAGTCAAATTCTTCCCCAGCAGAACTCTATTCAAGTCAGTGAAATTGAACCAGTGATTAATATGGCACCATGTGTTAACTGTGTTGAATGGACATGTACCGCACAGAAAGGCAACCTTGCTACAACCTGGTAAAATATGTTATGTAGATAATCTCATCAGATAAGTGACGGAAACCTATCACCTGATATTATATAATAATAAAATACATAATAAATAATGGACTATACAAAGGATGTTCTGTTCTACTGTCCTGAATTTTCTTCTTCTTACTCACACTATTTACTTACTCTTTCCTCCTTCTACTAGTCTCCTTTTTTTCATGTTATTTCTCACCTTCAGTCCCCTGGTTCCTTTCCCCATCATTCCTCTATCACATGTTTTCCCACTCTTCTTCATTCCCTAGTCTGTCCTCTTTCCAACCTCAACCCCACACTCCTCATTTGTCCTCTCGTTCACTCTCCTTGTTTCTTCCAACCTCAGATTTGGTGTCTCCTTCCGCATCTTTAGGCAGAAAAAAAATAGCGATCCTTCATATTTTCCCTATATAATGCTCATATGTGTTCCCTTTCCTCTTCCAGCACTTTGATTGAGCACCTTGGTATACTGAACAGGAATGAGGCAGAAAGCAATGGAAAGAGATACATTTAGAAGATAGACCAAGAGAGCACAAATTTGCAATGAAAGCATTTATATCCCTAGTACCTGAAAATATGGAAGGGAAACTCTCTGAAAGATTTGTGGGGTCACGTGGTGGGGGCAAGCAAACAAACATACAAGATGGCCAATAACAGACATGGGAAGCAAAGTCATTTGGGACCTTGCACTTTTGGGGTGCTGTTTCACCGCTTACAAGGCTCTACCTTGAACATTGTGTAGGTCTCCGAGTCCTTGCTAAGAGAGTGATTTGTGCCAGTGCATCCTTGCAGCCAGTAATCTCCTAGAGTTGGTACTGAAGTGGTACAATGGCCAGCAGTCACTGGCATTGTCCAAAGCCTCCAGAAACGTTATTTAAATAATGTATTCTAATATTTTATATCAACTTTATCATAAGCACGGCCATTTTGCAGAGACTGCTATTTCTCATTTTCGGACAGGAGCTAATTTATTATCCTGAAGGAATTAATTGTCTCCAATTTTGTGAAAATACAATACTAACTATATTAGCAATCAACAGTTAGAGGTTTCTCCCCGCATTTCAATTACTCAAATAAGGTTTGTTTTTAAATGAGAAATAAAAGCTGTAGTTCAACTTTAATGTTTATTACTACTGTGATACAGGAGGGCCAGGGAGCAGTGGGAGAGTGCTAGAGGGGAAATATATAAGCTCAAGGCTAATTAAGGCGTGGTTCCCTGTAGACTACGGAAGGTGGCTGCAGGTTAATTGGAGCACCTGCAGTCAATTAAGGTCCTGTTAGGAACCTAATAAAACCCCCTGCTTCAGGCAGACAGGGGAGGAGGAAGGTGAGAGGACTGGAGCTTGCAGGTGTGCTGTGAGACTTTGAAAAATCAGAGAACTGAAGTAAAGGGGACCCTGCCCCAGTAGGGGAGGGAGACTCCCTTCCGCAGCATCTAAGGACTGCAGGTACCCCACCCAAGGGGGAAGAGGGTAAGAACGCACAGGAGTTGAGAGGGGGCTGGGGCTCAGAGTAAGGAGCAAACCCAGACCCCTCCCCTTCTTCCCCCCTTTACCACCTTCCTGGGCCACTAGTGGGGCTATTGATGCCCCAAGAACAGGGGAAAGGGGTGGCATCTTAGCTCCCTGCCAAGAAAAGTGCAGGACCCACCAGACTAACATCGGCCATCTTATTACACTATTTTAAACAAATAAGTAGAAAGATACAGGGCCTGATTCATTATAGGGCTACCCTGGTTTTGCACCAACCTGACTCCATTGGTTTCAGTGGTGTAAAATTCAAGGAACAGTGGTGAGGGCTGCATAAAGGGTGCAGTGGGGGGTGAGGTCTCTAAACTTTATGTCATGAGGAAAATAACCAAAACCACTTCTTTCAGCTTTTACTTCCATGGAATGTACAGAAATAAAATGCTTTTTTCAGAAGCTTTTTTCTTTTAACTGACTACTCATTCTTGCCAGCAAGTTAAAGATGTATGGGCTGGATGAATGGACTATAAGGTGGCTAGAAAGCTGGCTAGATCGTCGGGCTCAACGGGTAATGATCAATGGCTCCATGTCTAGTTGGCAGCTGGTATAAAGCAGAGTGCCCAAAGGGTCAGTCCTGGGGCTGGTTTTGTTCAATATCTTTATTAATAATCTGGAGGATGGTGTGGATTGCACCCTTAACAAGTTTACAGATGAAACTAAACTGGGAGGAGTGGTAGATATACTGGAGGGTAGGGATAGGATACAGAGGGACCCAGACAAATTAGAGGATTGGGCCAAAAGAAATCTGAGGTTCAACAAGGACAAGTGCAGAGTCCTGCACTTCAGAAGGAAGAATCCCATGCACTGCTACAGACTAGGGACTGAGTGGCTAGGCAGCAGTTCTGCAGAAAAGGACCTAGGGGTTACAGCAGATAAGAAGCTGGATATGAGTCAACAGTGTGCCCTTGTTGCCAAGAAGGCCAATGGCATTTTGGGATGTATAAGTAGGAGCATTGCCAGCAGATCGAGGGATGAGATCATTCCCCTCTATTTGGCATTGGTGAGGCCTCATCTGGAGTACTGTGTCCCGTTTTGGACCCCACACTACAAGAAGGATGTGGAAAAATTGGAAAGAGTCCAGCGGAGGGCAACAAAATGATTAGGGGTCTGGAGCACATGATTTATCAGGAGAAGCTGAGGGAACTGGGATTATTTAGTCTGCAGAAGAGAAGAATGAGGGGGGATTTGATAGCTGATTTCAACTACCTGAAAGGGGGTTCCAAAGAGGATGGATCTAGACTGTTCTCAGTGTTACCAGATGACAGAATGATGAGTAATGGTCTCAAGTTGCAGTGGGGAAGGTTTAAGTTGGATATTAGGAAAAACTTTTTCATTAGGAGGGTGGTGAAGCACTGGAATGGCTACCTAGGGAGGTGGTGGAATCTCCTTCCTTAGAGGTTTTTAAGGTCAGGCTTGACAAAGCCCTGATTAGGATGATTTAGTTGGGGAGTAGGTCCTGCTTTGAGCAGGGAGTTGGACTAGATGACCTCCTGAGGTCCCTTCCAACCCTGATATTCTATGAAATAATTCAAAAATGTATTAAAGTGTTAAGCAGCAGAAGCAGTCAAAACTGGTCAGAACAGTAGAACTAAAATTCATTTGCAAATTTAACACCATTAATTTGGGCTTAAATAGGGACCAGGAGTTGCTGGCTCATTACAGAAGCAGCTTTGCCTCTCCTGGAATTGACACCTCATTTATTCTTGGGAGTGGGCTACATCCACCCTGATCGAATTGGCCCTGTCAGCACTGGTTCTCCACTTGTGAGGTAACTTCCTTCTCTTCATGTGTCAGTATATTTATGTCTGCATCTGTAACTTTCACTCCATGCATCTGAAGAAGTAAGGTTTTTACCCACGAAAGCTTATGCTCAAACAAATCTGTTAGTCTTTAAAGTGCCACCGGCCTCCTTGTTTTGTGGTCAGAACAGTGTATACCTTTCCACATTCAATAATCTCGTTAATTAATTATGGCCTCACAGCACCTCTGTAAGACAGTTAAGTATTATTACACCCACATTATAAAAGGGAAAATTTAGGCCCAGAGCTGTCAAGTCATTTATCCAAAATGGCACAGCTATTCAGTGCCAGAGGTGTCCTGACTATTTGTGTAAAAAGATACCCAAGAATCTTGAAACTACCCAAAGCAAGGGTTTCAGATGCTCTGTTGAGCAGTTCTATCCAGTAAAGGAACACACACATAACTTACCCAAACAGTTACAATATGTAATGGCTTGATACTTTTATTTTTAGGCAAGAATAAAAGGGTATCTGAAGCATGTCTAGGTCCCTTGCTCTGAGATTTTCTTGCTCATAAAGATCAAATTTTGTAGGAGAAGAGGTTATGGTTTAAGCATGTCAGTAAGTGAAAGATGGAACAGTAGAAGAAGAAGAAGAAGCAAATGGATTTAAGAGAGTGGAAGAGGTATGTCCCACTGTTAGGAGCAAGATACAGTTTAATCTGTGTCTAGCCTAGAAGATATAACGGCAGCACGTGCCCACCAGGGTAAGTGCCATTTACAAAAAATAGTGTGCACAATCTAAAACGCTCTTTTTGCTCCAGTATATGACTGAGACAGCCACAGCAAAGAACACAACATGTGGAAGAATCAGGCTGTACAATCACTACTGGTCTTTCTCTCCTTAGGCCAGCAAAGCGTTGAGAATGCTGGAGATGCGATGTCCTCAAACTCATTCAGGAGATGGAGAAGGAATGAGAGACCTGAGTCACACAACTGTGATCAGTCTAGTTGTGAGAATGTTCCACCAACGGACTCAAAGAAGTGAATGACAATAATTGGAATGTTCCATAGCACAGAGTTTCAAAGGAGGGAGAATCAATGGAGACAACAACAAAAAAGAAAACAGCTTGAGAATGAGAAAGGGGAGAGAAAAGAGCAGAAAAGCTCAAAATAAAAGAAAACCGTAAAAAGAAAAAAGTAAACATTAAAATCTAGAGCTAAGGAAAGGCCAGATCCTCAGCTGGTGTAAATCAGCACGTACGTTTCCCAGACCTGAAGAAGAACTCAGTGTAAGCTGGAAAGCTTGTCTCTCTCATCAGCAGAAATTAGTCTAATAAAAGATATTCTCACCACCTTGTCTCACTAATCATGGGACCAACACGGTAAGAACAACAGTGCATACACCTTGCTGCTTGAAATTTCCCTACTGTGTCTTTTGTGTAATATGCATCCATCTGACACATAACAAGGAACTTTTTAAATATGGAACTTTGTTACTCAGCCTATTTCCCACATCCTGGGAAATTTTTAACTTCATGAATATTATACTTTCAGAAAGCCATTTACCAATTCAGTGTTGCTAAGACAATAACTTTTCATTCAAACTCCTTTATTCATGGAAATATGTTTTCAGCTCAATATATTGTAGTAATCTTGCTGTTGTGAGAATATACAGACAAGATGTATCCTTTTGCTTATTTATATGCCATGGTTATATATTTATATATTGCATAAGGATATGCTGCATATTAATATTTTATTATGTTTACCCTTTTGGGATTATTAAATGTGTATTATGTTCACTGAAGGGAAAAAGTAACCTCTTTTTTATAATGACTCAGATAACTTTTCTCTGGGCATGAAAATTAACTTAACCCTACAACCATCACTGAAAGGGCTATGTGAATACTAACAAATGAAGTAAAATGCTGTTGATGGACTCAACTCCTGCCCCTGCATGTTAGTAAGTATTCTGTAGAATAAACACAGTTTTAATCAGCTGCAAAAATCTTGCCCTTTGATAAAATGCTATATTATCAGCATCTTCGTGGACTAAACTCCAGGAGTAGTAATCTCTTACTAAATACCCACCTGGAAATAGACTCCTATAAGCCATCTTTCCAGAACAAGTATGAATGAAAACTTTTCATAAAGAATTAAACTGATTTTTTTTAATTAAATTGGTTTTAAAATAGTACACCCATAATCAGAAGGAAAAAAAGGAATTAATAGAGAACTTGAAGAAAGGCAGTTGAAGAAACATCAGGGTTTGTAACTGTATGGCTTCTCTGTAATTAAATAGATTGCTAATTTAATTGTTCTATTTGGAATTAGAAAACTCACTGCATTTAAACAATGTCGCTGAGCAAAAACTATATTTTTCATTAGATTGGTATTTTTATAACTAATACATGAAATTAAAAAATTATTCCTCTATTTTCAGATTAATCACTTAGCAAATATGAGCTCTCAGATATTTTTAGTTTGCTATAAACATGTTTGAAGAAATCTGGATGAACAGATGTATGCATTTCTCAGACCATAAGAAACAAAGCACATTTATAAAGGAAAACACATAACTAAACAGTGTTCTAGATATTGTATCATTGGTTCTCATCTTAGATAAATCTCTAGCTACACATTCAGTAATTGATTCTATGTATGCCTCACCAATACTGTATATTTTATATTGCTTTAGGTGCTGTAAGTCTTGTATCATTTGGCAGAATATCACACAAATGCTTAGTTTATGAAAGCAAATTCAGTAAAGTCTGGGTAAAGTAAAGGGAATTCTATATCAATGCACCTCCGTTACTTTAATGGATATTGGTCAGCCGCTATTTCAAAAGAGATGTTTAGATATTTTGACTCTGATCTTAGAAGACATTTAATACTAATAAAAGGTTGTTATGGAAAAAATATATAAAATTAACCAACTCTTTTTCCCATAGGCTGGGAAAGAAGAGATTCTTATTACTTCTATTATTAAAATACATGGGATGCATTCAGCCCCACTGGTGACGGAGGCAGATTAGCTAGGTTAAAGTGAAGGGCAGTTTCTCTTCCTTGGGTAGGCAGCATTCCCCCAGAGCTCCCTTTCCTCGTCAGTACGTTGAGAGCTTCCCTTCCTGTTTCAGTCTACTGTGACCAGTAGACACATATTGCAGTGACCACCCTGGAGTCATGCCCTAAAAGTGGAGCTCAGACACACCATCACCTGCAGCCTCTATCTTTGTCACCCCCCATCAATTAAGCTTAGGCTCCCCTTCCATCTGTGACTGCATGTCCTCCTACCAGTTTGGTCGAAGAGATTCCAAGCCTTCCTTTCCCCTGCTGCTCCCATGGCTCCCTGATTGAGCTGGACTGCCCTAGAATCATGGGGCTGCAAAGGTGACTTAAAATTACATTCCCCCTCACTCCATCCTAGACCTATCCCAAACACAGTTCAGCCACATTAGAGAACCTGATCTCAACAGCAATGTTCACCTTCAATACCTAGAAACTTTTTCTTTGATCTGGTCACGAAAGGATGCTCTATCTGTCATTCTCTGATTTCCTCAAGCTGGAGGAAAAAAGCAGGAGGTGTCAGTCACCTGTGCAGTGGTATTGCCACCAAGCTGTACCATATTCTAATTCAATGATTTGGAAGGGGGCTTTGCAGCAAGGTAGCTTTGGGGCATTTTCCTGCCTCTTCCTTGTCGTCCTTGTCCTCCTGCCAGGTTTCCCAAAGAAAGTGGTGACCAAGCTTCAATTATTATGAAATAAGGCTATTTCAGTTTGTATTTCAATGCACAAGATATTCAATGCCTTTATCTCAATGTTTTGTAAATGTAAAGTTTAGTTTGAAGTATTTTTCCTCCTTGCTAGTATTAGATTCTTTGAAAAGTATACGGAACAGGTTTTATATATTAGAACACACGCTTCATTAATATTTGTTCCTGTACTTCTGCTGTGTGGAGCTTCACACTCAACAAATCTCAGACTTTAATACCAGGGTGTTGATTCAATTAAAAAAAAATCCTTGAATGAGGCTATGGAATTTGCTTTTCATGAAAGCAAGGAATAAAGAATTCTGGCTGAAGTTGATTATAATGTTTTCTATGCAAGTGTCCTCAATCCACCTACAACACCTCTGCTTCTGCAGTATTGTGCTCTGATCCTGGGCCTAGATGTGTTAGCATGGACCCTGCACACATGCTGAATCTTCAGTGGGATTCATCACTCAGTGAGTTACTGGGTCCGCAGTAGTGGATCCTGATGAAGCATTGGGTTTCTCCATTGCAGCCATGAAAAATTATGTTCAACCGCTTTTTGGCTTAACTTATATCCACTAGAGAGTAGGATGAGCCTACATTCATGTTCATTTGTGCCATTATCAGGAAATGAATCCAAGGGGGAAAGGCTGTCATGTTAACTACCTTTGACTGTTAGCCTCGCAGTTTGCCAGCTAGCCTCTTAAACGTTCCCTTTAGATTGCAAGCTTCTTGGGGCAGGGACTATCTTTTTGTTCAGTGTTTATACAGCACCTAGCACAATGGGTTCCTGGTCCATGACTAGACTCCCAGGTGTTATGATAATACAAATAAAAAAATAACTTTTTGTAAAAAATAAAATACAGAAATTACAACTAAGCAGGCTTTTCCCAAATTGCTTAAACTTACAGCTGGCTTGTGTTTTGATGACTTCTCTTTCTCTTTGTTCCCTTTTTTGTTGCTGGTGAAGTAATGCAAGGTGCCATATTCCATCAAGGCAGCAAACACAAAAATGAAGCAAACTGAAACAAAAAGGTCCATTGCTGTCACATATGAAACCTTAGGGAGAGATTTCCTAGCAATTGTACTTAGTGTTGTCATAGTCAATACTGTAGTAATACCTGTTCAAAAACAGAAACAAAGGGAGGTATTTCAATAAGTGATACTACAGACAAATTTAGTTGTGAAGCATTTAATTTATTCCCTTTAGTACCAAAGCAATCAAACTGGCCCAGTGTTCCCCAGTACTACAGTCGGATCTGAGCAAACTGACTCTTCCACCTACACACAGCCTACTGACTTTCATGAGGCTCCACATGAGCACAAATATATGTGCCAGCACAAGAGTCCATCCCCATGGATCCAATGGCAAGACCGGGGCTATAGAGAGCGAGATGATTTTAGCCTCGGTTCAAATCCTCTCTGTTCTCCCACACACTGCAGTTAAATAAATTGTAAAGGACTGTGAAATTTTCAACATTTTATACAGCGTAATGTTATTCAGATTTTAAATATTTTTAAAATGTGAATAAGGAACAAATGTTAATATCTAGGGGAAAGGTGCACTACTTAACCATCGATTCTTCAGAAGAAAGGGTTAACTGGGTGAAATGTAGTGGCCCTTGATATACAGGAGGTCAGACTGGATGATCTAATGATCCCTTCTGGCCTTCATCTCTATGAAAGTTCTAATTCACAGAAGAGGCATTCCACTGAAGACTCGCTGCTCAGCCTTTGATATATGAACCAATCACACAGAAGAGCTGGCTTTAGTAACTATATATTCAAAATCCGCACCAACTCACACTCCATTAATGTAATACAACAATTTTATATTATATTTTCTGCTTCATGATTAACTTTAGAATGCAAGGGCTACTCCAATTTCACATTGGCACACCTGACAATGCAGATAAGTATCTAGTGGGATTTTCAAAAATGCCTACCTCCCAATAGGTGTTTTTTAAAAATACCATTAGGTGCCTATGTGCATCTTTAGGTGCCTTCAAAAATCTGAACCACTGTGCTTTGGAAAGGCACAATTTCTGCCAACGTTCTGCCATACATGTGGGTGGGGTGAGCAGTCAGCTCCATCCATTAGCAAGTCCCCCTCTTCAGTGCATCATTCCTACTGCAACAGCCAGTGGGTAAGGGATGGGCATGGTCTTGTACCCTCCCACTGTTCTAGTTTCAGAGTCCTGTTCCATAGGGGAAGACGGAACAGTAGCAAACGTTCCCAGTGTTCCTCACAATGAAAGCAGTAGAGACGTTGCTATGGTGAAGCTATGGAATGGCTGCTCACAAGTGGCGATGGGGTAGGGACAAGAGGTGTCTGGATTGCTCCTCTGTCCCCATGGATGCAACACAGTTTCCTCATAGCTCAGCCCTTTAATGATCAAAATAAACTTTAGCACAGGAGCTTTGTTTGTCAAATAGAGTTAAAGTGTGGTTATACTCAGAAGAGTAACTCTAAAAAAACAGCATGGTGGGGTATTCTGGTTTGTGTCTCTCCCCCGCCCCAATGATTTCATATCAAATTAGCTCCATTTACAAGTAAAATCTTTGACCACCACCACCACACCACTCCATCTGCCAGTTAGCAAAATCATCCTGGGATCTGACAGTCAACCAGGGTTCTTTACTGCTTACACATCAGTCAACAGTAACTAACCCAACCGGCATGACTTATAGTGCAGTACTATAAACCTCTATGACATACCTGAAACACATTTTAGTTGGAACAGCATTACTGTTGCTGATATGAGAGCTGGAAAAATACTAGCTTGATTGTCATATCCTAGGGTAAGTTTTCAGGGCTGGCAGTTTAGAAGAAACACCTTGTAAAGTGAACAAATTGAATATGCAGTTGGCAAGAGACAATGAATCGGGAACATAGGATGCCATATTTACATTCTCTTTTCAGACTGTGCCCATGCTGAGGTTTAAATACTATACTTTAGAGGTAATTTATATAGATTCTAAATATCATGAGACGTCAAATCATTAGGTTTTAAACTCTATTCACTAACATTTTATGGAACTTTTTGTTAATTAAATAGCATAGAACTAAGTGAAAAAATTCATCACTTTTTAAAAAAATCTAGTTCTTCCTGTGTTCTTCCTGTACATTAATGCTGTCAGTAAACTCCTGTTACTCATACTCCAGTAGGTAAATAGTAGTATATTGAATAATGATATTTCTTTGTAACCAAATTTGCAAGTGTTCTCCTACAGAGTGAAAGTATTTATTCTGATAAACCAGTACTTCTGAAGAGAGCATAAATAACTGCAACATGTTAACAAGAGTAAATATGGTTTCTTTAGCACCACTAAAATTAGAAACTGTTTTGGCTACTACTATTCTTAAACTGATTTAATTAAATGAGCTCGGATGAGTACCTTAACCAAATGTTAAAACAGAGCCAATATTGAAAGGCTATAATATATTTAGACTGATAGTCTCCAGTCTGCTCCGTGGCATGGAGCACAGCAAAACCATGGAAATAACAGAAATGGGGCTTAATTCTGCTCTCACACAAGTTTAACTCCGTCATTAATTTCAGTTGAGTTACTCCCAATTTGTCCAGGTGTGAGAGGAGAATCAGGCATATGTAGACAGGAACAACTGTTATGTTTAAGGGTCCTTCCCCTTCTGCATACAGAAAAGGAAAGGGTGACTTGCTCTCTGAGAAAGAAGCCAGAGAACAGAAAACTTGTGGTCGCAGGCCAATAAAGACGCAGATAGGTTAAAAACTGGTATTAGTTAATCTTCCTGGATTAACTGCCCCTGTGTTCTGCAACTCTCACTGCAGCAAAATCATGCCTCTCAGCCTAATCATTAACCAGGCTGCCCTCATGCTGGATGATAAGAAGAGAATATATAGAAAACTCCTCTATGTGCACAGCTACAGATCCAGGGGGGTTGGATCAAGATTCCCTGAGGATTTTCAGTCTCTGCTGTGGTGTCCCCTGGTGCAAGCCCAGAATCATAATTTTAAAGCCATGGATATTTTTGATTAGTTTATTTCTCTCTGAAGATTTTTATGCATGGGGAACATACATACCTAATGATGTCCTTGCAGGCACAGCGTCTTTATTAATCCAAAATGAGACCCATGAAAGAACAACTGTTAGTATACAAGGAATGTATGTCTGAATAGTAAAGTATCCCATACGTCTGCTCAGATCAAAGAAGATTGTCATGATAATATAGTCCCCTACGAGGAAAAAGCCCACAATTCTAATTAGACATTGCAAGTGGTTTTCTATCCCATAATTTTTGGTATTCTTGTTCCAAATACATACCATGTTGTAAAATTTACAATGGGAAACATAATGTACTTTCCTTTTAAACAAAGCTGCCAAAGGACTTTTATCCATTAAAACAGGTGAGCTGCAATTCTGTTTTGCCCTAGACATTAGTAGCACACACAACAACTAAATGGTTCCTTGCACAATTTAGGCAAAGAATGAAAGTGCGTAGGCTGCTAATCCTCTAAATGCATGCAAGAAAACATCAGATTTTTCCGTACCAGACAGAGTATGAGAAATTTCAGTTGTATTTCGTAACCCTACAAATGCAAACTGGTACAATCTCCAGTATTTGGGATCTGCGACTGCAACGGAGGTTTTCTTCCATTTGTATTCAATTTCATTTCTGGGGTATCCATCTAGAACAAAGTAGACCAAACCAAGTATTCATTCACAGTATACAGCAGAGAATGCTTTCACTTGTGATCTCTGAAATTAGATACAACCCAAATAACTGGGTCAGAAAACAACTGGTCCGTAACATACGTGATGTACTATTAAGCTTTAGCCTGCAAATGTCTCAGTTTTAAGTGTGGCTAAATGTACTACCGACCAAAATGATAGCGAATACAGACATTTAAGGAAAATGTATGTCTCAAATTAATAATGCAATATTCAAATATGAAAAAGTTTAGCTTGTACTGATTCTGTTTCTTTAGAATGATAGTTTAATGTAATACAACAGAGGGGCATAATTTGAGAAGCATATTTAAAGCTTAAATGTGGTAGCTACTTTTATTTATTTCATACTTAATTTGCTTTAAAAGGTATAAATGCTTTTGGAAACTTATTTGCCTTTCCATGCTGACTATTTGGGACCTGATTCAGAACTGCGTTAATCCAGTTTTAGGTGCACTAGGCCAATTCAGTCTTTCAGAAGACAGAGGTTATATCTACACTACAAATGCTACAGTAGCACAGCTGCAGCTGCGTAGATATTTGCTACAACAACAGAAGGATTTTTCCACTGCTATAATAAATCTACCCATCCTCCCTCAAGTGGCAGTAGCTAGATCCATGGAAGTTTAGGTCACCTTAACTACATCTCTCAGCGGTGTGACTTTTTCACACCCCCGTGCAGCATAGCTAGGTCAACCTAAGTTTTAGATGTAGAACAGGCCTGAGCTGTGAAAGCATGTTTAGTTGAAGTATTTAAGAAGCAAATATTAAGCAATAATATTCATTTAAGAAGTTTCATTGTAGTTACATTCATCTCCCATTCCACTGTACATTAAGGAATAAATTGTTTAGATGTGTTCAGTGTTTTATTTTACCAATGGTAGCACAATGTCCTTGGGAACAAATTAATTTTATATGCTTAACAGAGTTTATACTAAAGGGGATAATCCTGTAAATTAGTAATTCTTACTCATAAAAACTAGTCCCACTGAAAGCAATATGCAAACGTATAAAAGATACCATTCCTCTGGAATCAGAGGCCTGCAGCTGGCTGGCTGATTTGCTCCACCTACTGCACCTAATAAAGTACTGGAACTTAATTCTCTGACCCTTATAAAAGAAGGCAGCAGGAAATGGAGAGGTGGGACTGCAGCACCCACCAGAAAGCTGAGGGGCTGGAACAGTGCTCCCAATGGACTGCTACTGGAGCTACTGTGGAGAGAAATTGCTCCAAATGGACAGAAGGAAGAGCAAGGAAACTTTACTTACTGAAGTGACTGGCATGAAGGGACTCCTCAGCCTGCACAGACTTTTGAGGGAAGAGTCTGCAAGGTTTTGCTTTTGTTTGTTAACAAGGCTTAGATGAAATGACTAACTGTGCTAGAAACTGCTTCCCAGAATTCCCTGAGAGAGCTCAGACAGAATTAACGCAGGGAGTGAGTGACTCAGCAAGAACAATGCTGGTAGGAGGAGGGTGCTTTAAGACAGGCCCCAATCTGTTTACAAGTAGAGCCCAGACAGGGGCCTGCCCTGAACCCCTTCCATCAAGAAGGGCTATGGAGAAGATACTCCAAATAACGGTGAATGAACAGCATGCAGAGAATGAAAGGAAGTTCCCGACGGCACTTCTGGCCACCCAGTGATGCCTGCAGGAAGCCCAGCTGGCGGAGCATGAGTGGAACAGACTTATCAAAATCCAGAGGCTTATCAAAAGAAATTTCAGCCAGAGCCATTCCTTAAGGGAGCGTGCCCCCAGGCAAGTAGCTCCACAGCTTTAGGACTCCGCTACCTGATGGCTAACCCCAGAGACAAAGACTGTGGCGGAGCTTATGGACAATACTGTCCTACAACAATACCTGAACATTCTCCCTATAGTGTTCAAAGCTGGGTTTGACCATTTTATCTGACATCCATTCAGAAGTCACTAGAGACAACTGAAAGGTTCTTAGAGGCCAAATTGCCTAGGAGTAGGAAAAACAGTCCCCCTGAGGGCTGGCCACTCTTTAGAACAGTTTCAAGGGATAATAACCTGCCAAACCACCGAGGGGCATAGTACTAGTCTGCCCTGAGCGAATGAAACTTTATGCTCATCACAGGCACACCAGGAATAGGGGCTCCAAGGTCCCAGACTTTCAAGGGACCACCACCACCCTCCCATGAAGGGCCCGATATGTTACCTGGGCAACCTAGGCGGGAATTCCCTGTGATGGAATATGGCTTTTTAGGGTGCCTCTTTGGCTAAGCAGGTGAGACTCCAAACCAACCCCAAGGCTTTTCATGGTCCCTCTAAAAATAGGGACAAACAGAGTGGAGGGATTTATAGACTTGTGGTGTGGACAAACTCTACTTCAAAGGGACTTAGTCTCACCCAAAGCCCTGGATCCAGAGTGATCCATCTGAATTTCCTGCATTCATGGAGAAATCTGTACATACCCAATGGCCTCATTTGTTTTGCAGTTAGCAGCTCAGTCAGGGCACTTCCAGGTAGAGTGGTGATCACCTACCCTGGATAGTGATCCTGGGATGTGACTGGAAATGTCTTCTGACTCTCCTGGAAGGAGAATCAGTTCCCTCCAACTCAGACCCCCTACCTCAAGAAAAGACCCCTTCTGAGGATGCTAGGATCTATTGCCCATTGCTCAATCCAATCTTTTTGAAGTCTCGTGAAGGTCCCAGAGCTCACAAAGACATTCAGGGAAGTCTCAGGATCAAGCAGAAGCCTAAGCCTATCCTGGAGCTGACTCCATGGAGCTTGGAGAAGGACCTTCCCAAAGGGTAAACTCTGTGAGGGGAACATCCCAACAGTCTGTATGTTATCACTTACCCATGGACACTGCAGATACCCTTACCATCTTAGACTACAGTGTCTTGAGTGATACCTTTGATATTGTGGCAGCTCAGGATGATGACCAAACACTTCAGGAAGGTTTCAGCCAAGTCACTGCTGCCAACACGACAGTTACTTTTGAACACACTTCTCACCAGTTTCCCTGCTTTGAATTATGGGATGAAATTCTGAACTGGGTAGAGAGACACCTATAAACTAAAGAACCCAGAGATCCACTCCTAATCCCCAAATCTGCCAAGCAGGAGTTCCTAGGGCTAGTCCATACTCTTCCCATGGCTGGACATCTGGGTAAGGTGAAAACCCAAGAAAGATTGTTAGCTCAATTCTTTTAACTGGAGATATGTAGAGAGGCAGCTGATTTCTGCTTGCTATGCCCTGATTACCAAAAGGAGCCCCAAAGGGTCAGGGCCAGGCCACTCTCATCCCCCTACCCTCATCACAACCCACTGTGAGCAGGTAGGGATTGATATAATAGGCCCTCTGTAAAAGAGTGATAGATATCACAAGTTCATTTTGGTTCTTGTGGACTATATCACTCAACATCCAGAGGCAATTCCCTTATGAAACACCTTTGCCTCCATCCTGGAGCGAGAGCTACACCAACTGGTTTCCTAAGCTGGGCTTCCATTGGAAGTAGTCACTGATCGAGTGACAAGTTTGGGCACTGTTGAAAGTGTGACTACTCCAGCAGTTTATCTTCCTCAGGCTGATGGTCAGGTGGAGAGGTTCAATAAGGTCCTCAAGAATACGTTAAACAAGCCTGTGGGAACCAAGGCCAAACACTGGCACTAGCTGCTCCCCCTAATATTTGTTGTTTGCGATACAAGAAGTACCACAAACCTCCATGGGCTTCTTTCCTTTTGAGCTTCTTTAAGGGAGACAGCCTCAAGGAATGTTGAACTTAGTTAGGGAGTCTTAGGAAGCTCAACCTACCAGTGTCCTCCAATATGTCAGTTAAATGAGGGAAAGATAAGAACTCTTGTGCCTCTTTGCCCAAACTAACCTCTCTTAGGCCCAACAGACCTAGACACAGCAATATCATAAAGGGGCTAGAGCTAAGGAATTCCAACTGGGAGACCAAGTGCCCCTGCTCCTTGCTAGCTGGGAATATGAGCTCTTGGCCAAAGGGCAGGACCCATATGAAGTACTCCATCAGGTGGGACCCGCAGATTATGAAATTTACAGCCCAGACCAGAAAAAACAAGGCATATTTATCATGTAAACCTGTTAAAACCCTGGAAGGTACAGGAAAGCCTTGTATCCACCTGGAGGAGGGAGAAGAGGATCTGGTGCCTCAGCCAAAATTAGGATAGAGGAAGTATCACTTGGGAAGGGACTGTCTAATGGGCAGAAAAGGCAAATAAACAACACCCTAAGATCTTAAAAGGAGGTGTTCTCCCTATTACTGGGAAAACCTCCATGGTGCCTCACTACATCCACATAGGGCTAGGGGCCAAGCCCATTCAGAAATCATATCAAATCCCAGAAGGTGAAAAACCCATTCATTCAGAAAGTACAGGAAATGTTAAGATTGGGAGTCATCAAGGACTCCTGTATCTCCTGGTGTACTTTGGTAGTTCTAGTACTAAAGCTGAATGGGACCCTTCAGTTTGATATAGATTTCTATCAGAAAAATGCCATTTCTGAATTTGATACCTAGCCGATGCCCCGAGTCAATGATCTGCTAGATTGTCTCGGTGAAGCTTGTTTTATAACAACATTAGATCTAACAAAAGGGCTATTGGCACATTCCCCTTGCTCTTGATTCCCAAGGAAAACAACAAACAACCTTTTCTACCCCAGTGGGCCTATTCCAATTTGTTACCATGCCTTTTAGGTTGCATGAGGCTCCATCTACTTGTCATAAGCTAATGGATCAGGTTTTATGGTCCCACCATCACTAGGCCATGGCCTGCCTAGATGAGAGGCTGGTATACAGTTGGGACTGGCCCACCCACCTCCAGAACCTAGCAGCTGTCCTTCAGGCCCTACAGGAAGCCCATTTAATAGCAAACCCAAAGAACTGCAAAGTGGGGAAAGGAAAAAAATATTTTTTTCATCTAGTAGGGAACAAGAAGGTACGATGCCTAGTTGACAAAGTTGAGGCCCTAGCAAACACCCCCCAAACAAAGAATCAAAAAGCAGGTCTGGGCCTTCCTACACCTAACAGAGTATTATAGAAGATTTGTGCCCAACTTTGCCCTATTAACTGCATCTCTTACCAACTTGGTTTTAAAAAAGTCAGCCCCTGGACAAGTCACGGGGTCCCCCCAGCGTGATCAAGCATTTTGGAAAATTAGGCAGATTCTCTACAACAAGCCAGTGTTCCATAGCCCCGATTTCACTTGAGAATGCATCCTACAAACAGACGCCTTGCATTACACTGTAGGTGCAGTGCTACCCCAAAGTTTCCAGGAAGAAGAGCACCCTGCCCTTTACATAAGTAGAAAACTCTTAGCCCAGGAAACCCAGTACTCTGTCCTTTGAGAAGGAATGCCTGGCCATACACTAGGCTGTAAAGGCACTGAGATGTTATCTGTTTGCAACACCCTTTCCATGTGGCATTAAGATGGCTCCAAATCATAAAGGACTCAAATGCCCATGTGACAAGTTGGTACTTAGACTTTCAACCCTTTCAATTTAGAATAGATATTGGCCTAGGAAGGACCATTGGAATACAGGCTTGCTTTCAAGAACTGAAGAACACAGTAGGCACTCAAGGCAGGTGGGTATGTGAAGGTATCAGGGATAGTATTCCTCTGGGGGCAGAGGCCTGCAGCTGGATGATTAGCCCCACTCTCTGCATCTGAGAAAGGTCTGGAACTTAGTTAGCTGACCCTTATAAAAGAGGGCAGCAGGAAATGGAGGCAGGGATTGCAATACCCTCAAGAAAGCTGAGACCAGGGACAGTGCTTCCAGTGGACTGCTACTGTAGCTACTGCAGATATGATTTGCTCCAAATGGGCAGAAGGGATACTATGTGGAGTCATTTATGGCTGAAGCTCTGAGCTTAGAGCAAGGAAACTTTGGTCACTGGAGTTACCGGTGCAAAGAACAGACTTGGGGAAGGGATGACTCAGCCTGCACAGACATTTGAGGGAAGAGTCTGCAAGGTTTTGTTTTTGTTTGCTAAGAAAGCTTAGATCAAACAACTAACCCTGCTGGAAACTGCTTCCATGAATTCCTTGAGAGTTTAGTTAGAATTAACCCAGGAAGTGAGTGACTCAGCAAGAGCCAAACTAGGTCTGGTAGGAGGAGGGCACTGTAAAACAGGCCTTAATCCTTTTATACAGTGGGCCTAGTTGTGGTGATTAAGTGTTACTTTTTTGTGACCTGATCCTGTAATTTTATACTGTTAAATATACTACATGTAGTCACTTAAACGCTGGTAAATTTTGCAGATTATATATATTTCTTCCTCTCCTAAGATCTGATCCAAAGCGCCAAGAAGTCAATGAGCAGATAGCTGTTGACTCCAGTGGGCTTTGTATCAGGCCCCTAAGTGGTAGGATTATTTTTAACCTTTTAAAGTTGCAGTGAAATGAAGTGTAACATCCTTCATTCAATTCAAGAGAAGACTAAGCAAACTATAAACAGCTAATTGTTTTCTGTTCTGCAAGAATTTAATGTGCAATCACGGACCTGCTGCTTTGCAGCCTATCAATCAACAGTGTCTGAATTTAAATAATAGAAAATAAAATTATGAAGTATTTTACCACCTACAGCTTGAAAACTCCAGAGGACAGGAATGCTCATCCATAGGAAAGTTATGAAGCTGAAGATAACATTCAGCATTAATTGTCAACCTAATTAGAAGAAAAAGTTTTATGAGTGAGGTTATGTTCAAAGCACCCTTTGTACTACATATTAGAGTATATGCAAGTCGTTTTGGCCAGTGAATGTGTATTAGGGATAGGTAACTGACCATGTACAAAAAGTATTCAATATCATTTCTAAAGAATGGTATCCATCACCAAATAACAGGTTTCAGAGTAGCAGCAGTGTTAGTCTGTATTCACAAAAAGAAAAGGAGTACTTGTGGCACCTTAGAGACTAACCAATTTATTTGAGCATAAGCTTTCGTGAGCGCCAAATACTACTTGAAGACCCGTGTGTCTGGTCATGCTAGTTTGCATGACCAGTTATGCTACCCACAAGGTATATCAAGTATGCCATTCTATTTTTGTGTCCTTTCAGCTCTTCACTAGTATGAGCTGATTAAAATAGGAGGAGCAGTTCTCCCCTCACTAACCAAAGAGGAGGGGGAGTTGTAGAAAAGTGCCACTTACCCAAGACTGGGAGAGCTCTCCACCAGCATTAGCAGAGGAGCTGGAGCTGTGCTCCCTCCACTGCACGCTCTGGAAGTCTTAAACCACATGTTCTTTATGTGAAAGCCATTGATAGATGGTTATATATTAGACACCTAATAACCTACTCTAATGGCTTCTCTTAACATGGGATTCAGAATCATTATGCCTGATGTCTAGATGTGCAAGAGTGGAATTGTGTACATAGGGCCCCATCCTGCAGATCTTACTCATGTAGGTAGTTTCAATGAAGCTAGTGGTACTAATAGAAACATAGAATATCAGGGTTGGAAAGGACCTCAGGAGGTCATCTAGTCCAACCCCCTGCTCAAAGCAGGACCAATCCCCAATTTTTGCCCCAATCCCTAAATGGCCCCCTCAAGGATTGAGCTCACAACCCTGGCTTTAGCAGGCCAATGCTCAAACCATTGAGCTATCCCTCCCCCCAATGTAATTAGGAAGATCAGGCTCTCAAAGAGAAGATGCCCAGGAGTAATATTGTCAAGAAGATAAGTGCCCTAAATGTGCCCTAAATAACTCCAGAAAATAAGAGTTAGGCTGCTGAGTCATTTAGGGGCTTTTGAAAATTATACCTTACATCTATGCAGAAAACTTTCAAAGGCACAAGTTAGGCACCCAGCTCCCATTAACTTCCACTGGGAATTAGGCACCTAACTGCTATTTGTGAAATTAAATCTCCCCTTCTTTTTGATAGGAGTCAAGTAAACTGATTTCTGAGAGTAATACCATGCTTAAATATCCCTGTGTTTTTGGAGGAGTGCTGGGGGAGAAGCTGGCAAGCAAAATAGGACTATGAAGCAAGTTGCTATTTTATATACACACTTCTTTGGGGCCTTTCTGGAAATCTGATCTGACCAGTTGAGACAGATGGATAGACTTCAGGATGCAAGAAGGAAAGGACTTCTACCATGCTGCAGAAAACATACTATATTTCAATTTGAAAGTTTTGTATCCACTGCGTGATGTGGTTTTTTTGTTTGTTTGTTTGCTTTTTTTTAAGTAGCCAACTACAGTACATGCATTTATTCCCTGTGTTTTCTTTTCTGTTATTTGTCCTTTTTGGATAGTTAACCAATAAAATCAGCTTTTATTTAAGACAACCCAAATTAGGTTTGGGATCACAGATGGGTGTCTTGAAGAGATCAGCTGACCAATTTCAGGGGAGGCAGAAAATCAGTCTGCCTATGAAGTTGAGGGTGAAGAAGTGCCAATCCTGCTCCATAAAGTGCCAAAAGGGAAGTGGTGAAGACCAATAGGGGTAATTGTAGCCAAATGGCGTGATGTGTTGTCAGATCCTGTTGTTGCTCCATCATTCGCTATCATATGAACTTTGCTTTTCTCCATTTACTTCCACTTTAGGCCAAATTCAGGCCATCTTTTTCCCTGATACAAACGTGTACATTGGACAGCACTGGGTTTTGTTGAAGGTTGATTACAGTTCCTGTCTCATACTCTAGCTTGGTGACATCACTCTCATCCACTGCTCGTGGACAGCTTACATGAGTGCTCTTCCCTAGGCCTTCTAAAAGAATATTAACCAGAAACAGCAGCAGCAAACCTGGAACTGCAATTGGACAGGCAGCAAGCTGGCTGGAAGACAGTAGAAGAAATGGGTCTGAGCAGGTTTGGTGGTGGTGCTCAAAAAAGCTAACAAACATTTTAAACATTAGCAGATGAGCATAAAACTCTATACAGGAAATTCTGCAAAAGAGGATATACTCTTTAAAGAGGGCTCCACCAGAAGGCTCTATCAGAAAACTGCACTCTTCAAAATACGACATTTTAAAAAATCAAGTTAACAGTGTCCTTTTAAATTATGTTAGATTATTTTTCCTTCTAAAGGATTATTACAGGATACTTTCCTATACGGGCAAACAACTATTTCCCATAATGGGCACTCCTACCCCATATATATAAATAAAGTATTTTTGACTAATATTTTAACTGAGTGCTTTCTTTTATTCAAATATAATTTTGTGCAAAATAGCTATAGGGGACAGTTAAGAGTTCAATTCAGTCCAGTGAGTCTGCTGTCCAGTGTACAGCTGGAATTGTGACACTTGAAGAGTTAAACACAAATTACGGTATTGGCTTGTCACATTACATTAATCTTATTTATCTTTACTGTCTTCTTGTACCTAAATAAAACAAATCTGCCCCCTGCTCCTATTTAATTTCTTGTTGAGCAGTACATTACAACAGCATATATTTTATGTTCCACTTGACTAAGCCACAACTTATTCATCTCCACGTTTGTTTCTGAGCCTCTGAACTTTGAAACCGAAAGGGGCCTGGAAGTTACTTCTTACTATAATTCTTTCAAAGTCCCATTCACAATATTAGTAATGATAATTCATTTATTTCTGCCAGTTGCAATTGTTATTAAAGTTGTAAAATCAATAGGTTTAATTGTAATGGATTGCAGAATATAACAATGAGTGAAAATATTAATGAAGAGCGCCTTTGCATCCAGTTCATGAGCCCTTACCTCAGAGTATACAATACTCGTCCATCACTCCAGATTCGAAGCAAACGATTTGGAGTTGTGATCCAATGAGCATCAGATTTTCTTGAGTTCCGGAAGAAAGTGTCTGGAATCCAAATTTTTCCAACCATATTGCTATTAAGCATAAGCACTTTCATTGAGCTGTTAAACTTTAGGCGACTATCATACCAAGTCTGGGCAAAAATTATATCTATGGTGTATTCCTAGAAAAAGAGAAACCATATTTTTTTTATATTTACACACAAACAACCAAAGCCAATATGCCAAATATACTTTTTTAAAAGTTAAACTTAAGGTGAGCTCCTTCATTCTGCTATGGACTCCTTTGCACTGCTTGAGGAGTGTACAGCACTTCTAGCCTCTGATATAAAAGGAGTAACTGAGGAATGGGGGACATGACTGGAGCATCCCTAAATCAGTTGCCAGAACAGCCACTTGGGACCATAGGTACCTAAATGTGAGCTAGAGCAGCCCGAAGGTTCACAATGCAAATAGAGCTACTCTTTCACCAAGCATAACTTGGTTAGACCAGAGTTTGTAGGCCTGGTTGTTGTTGTTTTTTAAATTATCTTGACCATTTTGTGACAAGTTTTCCCATGGGTAAAATGGGGTCATTTTTCAACATTTCCATGAATGTCTCATGACAAAAAATATGGAATTTGTCTACCAGTCAAGATAAACACATTTTGAAAAATTCATGAACATGCAGCAAAGGAAACCTCACCATTTGCCATGTAAATTTTGATCATGAACTGCATAAGGAGTCGGGAGGACAACTCCAGAAGTTCACAGTAGGAAGGAAACTTTGTTAAAGAAAACCACACATCCATTTTAGGCTGTAGGTAACATCTTATCTTGATGGAAAGCTAATTTCCCTAATAGATATTTTAGGTCCAGAACAGAAGAATGGTAATAAGAAACTAGGATTCTCATTAGACAATTCAGTCTGCATCTACATATGACAGTAATAACTGTACAGCGTGGGAGGGGAGAAATTTTATGGCTGTGTTAGACTTGTTCTTCAGAAATCCCTCAGGGCTGCTCTGCACTTAAGACAAAGGAGCAACTTGACACCATCTCCTCTGAAGAGAGTTCTGTTACTGACATAGGGCCATATTAGGCCCTTGAGACCCACGGGGAAGGGACCATCCATGAATGGAAGTGTCTGCAACAATGTTTCTTTCTCCACAGAGACCTTGCACAGGCTTTCAGTGCATTCAGGGTCTGCTCTGGGGAACAAGATGACTTGGAAGGCCAGGGTAGAGGTGTACCTTTCCACACAGCTCTCTATCCTTGTCCCAGGGACAGCTGTAGCCATGGGGAGTGTGACCGGAGGGGCTGACCCTGTGTAGGGGCACAGGGTCTTCATGCAGCTGGCTTTGGTCTCTTGTAGAGGTGCTAGTTTTGACACGGAGGGGAACAACACACCATTTCCTGGGGTGGGGGAATCACCACAGTTTTAACTTGGAGGGGCAATCTGCCCTATTATATAATATAAATTGTCTTGCATAGAATTCAATGCCATGAGAAAGGAAGGTATTATCAATTACAGTGGACTCCACTTATGTGTAGTGCTCAATTATTTGACCTGGGTCACTCAAATACCGCCTCTAAATGTTGGTCTCTTCAGAAAACAAGATACAATGTCAGTCATATAAAAGTAAAACTGACTGCAGAGGTACTAATGTCTTTGTTTTCTAAGAAATTAATATACCCAAAATATGTTCAGTTCAATGTGTTTCCAGCAACATAAAAATCAGCCAGATTTTACAAAAAAGAAAGAAAGGAAAGAAGGAAGAAGGAAACAATACTTGTTAAATAAAAACCTTGGGCCAGATCTTCAGTGGGTGTAAACTAGCCATCGTTTCACTGAAGTCAATAGAGCCATTGCCAATTGACACCAGCTAGAGATCTGCCCCCTCCTGTATCTAATAACATAAAACAAAAGATCAATAAGAGATGCTGCTGATTCACTGCCTCAGGAAAGTCACTGTCTTAGTTTTAGTTTCCCCCTCTGCAAAATGGGGATAATAATACTTGTTTCCTGGAAGGTTGTTAAGATTAAATTTAATGTTTGTGAAACACTCAGGGACAAAAGCAATGAGTGCCATAGAAAAGACTACAAGGAAATGAATGATTCAGTATTCAGTGCAGGTTTTGGATGGGGTACAGTAAATATGGCAGGGATCACTAATTGAATGATGATGATAAAAATATGGAGCAGCTGTCTCATTCCCTGAGCACTGTCCATCCTGTGCATTGAATGAAGCAGGGGGACAGGTGGAAAAATAGTATGTGATCATATAATTAAAGATTGTATCAGAATGCATGCAGGGAACAGAATTAACGTTGCATAGGCAGTCTTAATTCTGGCACTTCCTAATTTTCAAACGTTGCTTTTGCACCCTAGGGTGGAGGAAAAAGGCATATGATTGAATCATGACGTTTGGCACATATTGCTAATCCTACTCTTCAACTGCTGGCTGTTTTCATTTGTTTAGCTGCCTATATAAAAAAGAAAAAGGTCACACTTCATTGAGGGGAGAACTAGGGTTTGAAGGTCGTTTTGATTAAGTATGTTGTGGCAGATATGGCAATTTTCTAAAAAAACCCTTACTGAGTTAAATTTAAGTATCTTTGGAGTCCATTGTACCATATGCAAAGGTTATGTATGCCTGTGGACTGGGATTGTATGTAACCTCTCTGGGGTGAAGATGCTGTGCAAACAGTTGGAAGTGATATGAACTTCAAAAGACTGTGTTTAATAATGGCGCAATGGCTTTCTGAGCTAAGGCTGTTGTAATCACAGAAAAACTCCTTTGTGGAGTTTGCAGGACTGACTCTGACCAGAGCCCTTGTTGGAGTCTGGGTGTGATCTTTGGTAAGTTCAGTTGCATGTGTGTAGGTTCTTTTATTGTTTTTAATAGGATTTCTGTACAATGCTTTCACCTTAAGAATAAATTTGCTTGCTTATAAAGGACTTTGGGGCAACTTATAACTGCTGGCAATTATGCTGTTCATAGCCTTGAGGAGAAAGCAAAGTGCAGATGCCTGCTTGCTGTGGACATCACAACACAGTCAGGGAACTGTGCAGCCTGGAAAAAACCTTGTTGAGGAGGGAATGAAATGTGGGTCACTGCCCAAGAGAGGTGACTGCTGAGGAACCAGGAGCCTAGAGTCAGTGCTCTTGAGGGACCATGGAGGGGAATACAAGTGCAGTTGCCCTGAACTTTGATATATGTTTTCAGAAGTGCCTTGTTGTGGGAGAGATGACAAGGCAGGCAAACCAAGGAGAGGATTCCGGGCGAGTGGGATGAATGGAAGAAAACACAGAAAAGAGAGGTAGGAAAAGAGCCCAGGGGGAAAACAAAATATCAGCTGAACAATTGTAATATAACACACTTGGAACAAGTTAGGTCTATAACAGTTTAAAGATGTTACATAACTGATACAGGGCAAGATAGTGACTTGCCCTTTTATGTCATGAATGGGAAAAAGGGAATAGAAGGACAGACCCACTCCCTCACCCTGTGAAGGGTTCTACGGGTCTACATGTGTGGAGAATGCCCTGCCCCTACTCTCTTCCCTCCATCTTGCCCCATATGCCAACCTGCACAGCTGAGCTAGCATGAGGATGGCATAGCGGTAAAACTTACTGACCTTCTGAATCAAGGTGGGGGAGACCAGGGAAGGAATTATTATCATCTGTATCACTGTTCTTTTCCTGGGTTGCTCCTGGGTGGAGTAGCTATATGGCCCCTTACACGGGGTGAAACAAGTCTCAGTCATATCCACAATCTTGTCAGAAATTGCAAAGACTTTAAACACAATTACAATTTGAAGTGTCTCTGTTTTCTGAAAAATCACTCTGCCAATAAGGCACTGTGGAGCTTTGCTTATTGTCCTTGAGTGATTTCCAGTTCAAAAATCATCCGTGTATAAGGAAAAAGGTGGGAGGGAGGAGACTGGGGGGCCTGTAACTGCTAATCATGCAGACTGACCTGGGATCAACTGGATCTAAGAGTCTAATTTATTTCCTGACAGCTACTATCACCAGCAGTTGTGGTTCCACAGGTCAAATTAGGCCATCGGTTATATTTGTGCAACCCCTTTGTCTTTAAATGTTGCCTTCAAAACAAAGCCTGACTCTCCATTTGCCTGTGCTTTGTGTAGTCAGCTACAGGAATTCAAAGTGGATGCAAAATGCTACCAAGTCAGAATGACAGGCAGCCTTTGGCACTAACTCTGCACTTGTGTAAATGATCACACAAAACACAGTGCAGTGGAGAACTTCCCCACCGCCCTCAAGTGACTTCAATGGGCTGTACAAGTTTAATTGAAACTGAGTAAGTAATTCTTTTGAAGACACATAAGAAAAGAACAGGCACCAGCTCCCTCTCCTAGAGCTACCTCTGCAGCATTAACAGGAGTAAAAAGTAGTCACTAGGTGAGTGAAGTCAACAGATGATGTTTTCAATATACAACAGGAGCAGATCAGGAGAGTGAGAAGGTGGCATTTTAAATATTCACTTTTCACAGTAGAACTGCAAACAAGAAATATGTCAAAGTAACATTACTGTCAAACCCACCAGAGCAGGAAAATTTCACACAGCCGCAGAACACTTACCACCCCAACAAATTTAGGTTAAAAAGGAAGAAAAACTACTAGAAGATTTTGAAGGAAAACAGGAATTCCAGCAAGGGAACCAAGCCAGCTACTTATATTATCTTACATTTTAGCTCTGAATACGAGTTCTAGACATAGTCGTATATTTGCTAACACCTTGCATGCAGCATTTATCACCGTTCAAATACAACTTAATGCATAAAATATAATACAACAAAATTAATAATCTGTTGCTGAATAGTTCACTGCTGTGCAACATTGGACCCAATTCTATGGATCCGTGAGAAAGGATGTCAGAGGGGGGCCCTCCACATGCAACTCACTCCCTTTCTCTGCCACCTCCAAAGCATTCTTATCTTTCCTCATCTGCACGGAAAGACTGCTATTCGTGAGGATCCATAATATATTCTCTGGCTGCATTACTTTCCTACAGAGCCCCTCTGCACAGCTGACTGACACTTTCAAGAGGTTTTTGGGTTCAACAGCCAGTACTGAAGGCTGTGCTAAAGAGAGGTAGGAAGAGAAAGACCAGAGAAAGATCCTGCCTCTGGTGTTGGCTTTATATCTGCACTGATC